GTTTAGAGGTGAAAGAGGGGGTGGTATGTATCTCCGAATCAGAAGGGGGTACTTTGACAGTACAAAGGAGGGGTAGCCAGCTAATAATGAAAGCAGATCGGAAGACCTCTAGTAAACCAGCGCCTTAATCGGCAGGGTGGGTAGTTTGTGTATGAAGTCGGACACTAATGAGGTGGGGTAGTGACTTTCAGTGGGTAGGGTGGGTATTGATAGGGTCAAAAGGAGCAAGGCAGCTAGAATGATTGCATTAATATTTCAAATATTCAGATTATATTTTAAGATCTGTCCAGAAAAAAAATTGGAAATCATGAACGAGCAGTAGGTGGTATGTCAAAATGTACTTTCCCATTGGGTCGTAGAGGAGTAGGGTAGGGTATAGGAAGAGGAGGGGTAGGTACCATAAGCAGGGATGGGCCCCAAGGTCCTGTAGCCAGGGAGGTAAACATGGGAGAAGGGGTAGGGTGGTTGGTAAAATGACAGAGTGGGGTGGTACCCCTGTCAACACCGGGAGAGGAACAGGTAGGTCAGTCATGGGGGGTCCTGACCCCCCGGGGCATGGAGGGTGAACTTGCAAGTAAGTAAAAGGGGTGTGGATCACAAAGGGGTGGGTCATAAGGGGGTAGTCGATGACCCTTTTGCAGTTCATTTGGTGGTAGGGTAGGGCAGGGGATGTATGAATGAATGGTGGGTGGTCGAAGCAGGAGACTGTGGGGTGGGGTGGGGTGGTAGTCAGTTTTGGGCTTTTGAATGCTGCAGGAGGATGGCGGGAAGGGGAGGCAACGATGGTCACAAGATGAGACAGCGGAGAGAGAGAGAGAGAGAAGAGAGAGAGAGAGAGGAGGAGGATAATGAGAAAGATGGTGATGAGGAAGAGAACAAAGACAAGATGTTGAATGCCACAAAGATAGACACCTGTACATGATCAGGATGATAGAGCACTCGGTATGTCGAGATGTCATATTGCTGCTCCTCTCAACTATCCACAGTGGACCAATAGATTTTTCTGGCCTTTCAGAAGAAGTCAAAGTTGAAGGAGTGTGAGAATGCAATGTATGAATTGATTTTCCTAGCAAGGCCAGATTGTTGGTAGATGTCGATGGAATTGGCCGCATAGCTGGCAAGAGTTCGATGGGAGTAAGAGCTGCTATAGAATTCCTTGTGCCCTAGTTCGAGACGTGTTAAACGCGCTAGGCCGGGTTATGTCATGGTTTGAGAGTTGTATGATGCCAATGGCAAACGAGGCAAACGGGTGAAGTCGATGTTGCACCTGAAACTATCTAGCGAATTTATCTCCGTCCAAACCTCGATGTTATTTAAAACTATATTTTTTTGTTCTTCACCAATTCATTCCATCTCACTTTCTTTTACCAGAATTGTTTTCCTGTCGGTTCGCCATGATAGCAGCATGATCCCTCATTCGGGGCATGGGTATTGGCGCGGCAGGGGGACCCATTTACATTCTGTTGTGTGGGTGGGGTGTAAATGATTCGAACCAGAGCTGCTGGTAGGAAACCCTAACACTAGATTGTCAAGGATTCTACAGGCTCCCAAGAGTTTCCTTCCCCTTGTTCCATTTCTTCTGGCGCTACCTCTTTCAACGTACTCGATCACATCTCTGCCGCTCTCCTGTTCTCCGCCTTGTCTCGCCCTGTCGTCCTGCCTCGATCCCGCTGTCTTGGGTTCTCCTGCAGCGTCTGGATATCTTTGTTGTAAATAATCGACCGAGTTCCCTTCGGTCAAATGTCGGGTAAGGTGAACGGAGAAGCCTTGGACACAAAGAGCCCCAGCAAAGAGGCTGGAGACATCATCTACTGGAAGTTCGGGGCAAGCAAGAATTTTGATGCCTATCATCCTTCATCTGGAGCGATTCGCAAAGTTTTCATATTGGTTGCGCTGCTGCTCTCGGCGGTTGTTGGTTTCATCTACATCATCGACCAGTTTTTGATAAGAGGCTTCTGCATCCTCCCCATTGCTTTCGCTCTCTATTATTTTGTTTTCTGCACCATCCATCTCTGGTTTCAGTGCAACTGGACAATCTGGTGGACGACGCGTAGAGGGCTGACTTTCGAGTCAAGGTTGGTTGCGCTGCTGCTGAGAGGTGACGCTGAGTTGACTCTTGGCAGAAACATCGTCGTGACCTCGAGAGAATCGCAGATCGCAAAGTTGAAAGCTAGGTTGGAGCAAAGCAAGGCAAAGGTGTCAGGGTATCGCCCAAAGATTCTTTGCGTAGCTGGTTATGGCGGAGGAGGACACGAGGCTACCCTGGTGAGTTCTTCGTGCCGTTCGTGCATTTCTATCCGTTGTACTGAGAGCGTTTGCTAAACACTCAGAATGGCGTCCGAGCCGTCATGAACGAAGCTGGCTTCTGGTCAGAAGTCGTGGATATTCCTGTTGGCTTCTTGTTGGAAACTTCCAAGAACAATCCGCTGTGGAACTTGACGGGAGTGACGGGAGAGCAAATTTACAACTGGGGGTTGTACAGGAGTCCGCTGATAGCTTACATCATCACTTGGGGTACCTCTGTGGGACAGTGAGCAAAGCGAGTGGGAGGAGGAAGTCAGACTAACTGAATGTCATGCTGCAGAGTGATCGGGCTCAGGATCGATGGGATTTGCGGCCTCATCGGGGACTTGCTATCGATCGATTACGGCGACGAGTCGGCCAAGTTGTGTGAGAGGATCTGGAAGGAGCACCAACCAGACATGGTGACGCATCTCCTGCCTCTGACGGCCGGATGACTGACGCAGCCGACCTGCAGATCTGCAACTTCACGTCCGGGACGACTGAGTTCATGATCCGCGGGCTGGAGCGAGCCGGGATGACGCACATCCCCTTGGTTACGATCGTATCGGATTTCGAAGGAAGGTGACAACAAGCCCTCGCGATGTGAAGCCTCCTCTCATGTCTTTTCCCTTCCTCCTCGCTATAGGCCTAATCGGAAACAGCCATGGATAGAAGACAAGCGCCAGTACGCCGTCTGTGGAACTTCAGTGTGCAGGCAGCAGGCGTTGAGCTTTGGGCTGCCCCCGAACCAGGTCTGGATCGCACCAGTTGCAAAACTGTCATGCTGACTCTTCTCGAGGTCTTCCAAACTTCGGGGATGATCTTGAGACCCGCGTTTTACGAGCCCCAAGACGACGAGCTCGACCTCAGCGGGAAGCTGAAGAAGCTCGGGCTCGACCCGGAGCGCAGGACCTGCTTGATCTTCTGGGGAGGCGTCGCGAGCAACCGGGTGAAGGAGATTGGGATGGCGATCACTCAGGCGTCAGAGAAGCTCAATATCATCTTCCTCTGTGGGCGAAACCTGCAGGTCAGCCCGCCAGCTGGTCGGCAGCTTGGCTGACAGTCCTTGCAGCTTGCGCAGGACCTCAAGAAGATCGAGTGGCCGTGTAAGGTGCACGTGGAGGGCTTCACGACTCGAGTCTCCTACTTCATGAAGGTGAGGGCAGCGGGTGCCCTGCTGTTTCACTGACCTCCTCCAGCTTTCCGACATGATTGTCTGCAAGCCCGGGCCAGGCGTCTGCTCCGAGGCTGCTCTGCTGGGCGTCCCCATCCTGGTCGAGTGGTCCTGCTTCACCCTCCCGCAGGAGGTGGCCATGCTGCTTGCTCCTCTAGCAGGCCCCAGCTGAGAGTGTGACAGGTTGCCGTCTGCAAGTGGGTGCTGCTGCGAGGCCTTGGGTTGGGCTTCACCAACCCGCGGCAGCTGGTGTGGCAGGTGGACCGTATGTGCAGCCTCTTGAACGAGCCAGAGGCGAAGAAGCTTCTGCGGCCGCTCCCAGTGGTCGAGAAGGGCCTGAGCGGCGTCGACCTGAACCCGGCAGAGAACGTGGCCGTGTTCGAGGTCCCGTCGATCCTGCAGGATGTGCTGGACCTGTACGCGATGAAGCGAGACGCCAGCAAGTGAGTTTGGGGGGGGGGACTGGGAGGAGAGGGACTACTAGCGGCCCCTCGTCGGGGTTTAACGACCGAATATGAACACACAAGCTGATCTCACTGCACAAGAGCGAAACCGAGGAGAGCCTCGGGCATCTCGAAGCGGAAGAAGGGCGACCAACCTGCAGCCTTGCACGTCAACGGCCAGCAGGCGGCCAGCAGCACGAGCACCTCTCCCCTCGTCGCGTACGTCTAGAACCTCTGCGCTCTCCACAAGCCTCCCCCGCACGTCCCTTCCCTCCATGCTGTTTGCTTCGTCATCGCTCGTGCGGCATGCGCGCTGCCACTGACCTCATGTGAATGTAGTCCCTTCCCCTGACGTCTTGTCGGTCGCTGACTACCGTCAGGCCTCCCACAACCAAAATGAAGTCGCCGAACGTCAGCAGCCCGAAAGCATGCCTGCTCCCTCTGTGAGCCTCTCCTCCCTCCTCTTCCTCATTCCCCCCCTTCCCCCCTCCCCTCCCTCGTCCACTCCCAGTCTTCACCTTGACTCCAGGAGGTCAGGCAGTAGATCCCACTTGTCGCGTTCTATGCTGTACCTCTCAACTCGCCCCTCCTCTCCCGCGCTCCATCCCCCTACAGCGTACAACTTCCCCTTCATCACGGCCAACCCAACCTGATCAGTTCATAAGCAGACGCAACCCTCCTCCTCCTCCTCCTCTTCCTCCTCCTCCTCCTCCTCCTCCTCCTCTCACTGTGTGTCGCGCGTAGTGCATCGGAGACATTCTGGTCCAACGCAGGGTCTGCGGGCTGATGCAGGAGGAGGATGAGAGGGCAAGAACCAGCAGGCGCATCCTCACCTCAGCCTCTCGACCGACTTGAGTCGCTCGTTGCCGTCATATCCTCCTGCCACCCACACGAACCCCTCGCCTGCTGCGATACCTGAAGGGGATCAAGGGGATCAAGTCAGGAGGGACATGTATGTCTCCTGTTTGCCTACCCATCCCCTCCCGCGCCTGGACTAGATCGCCAGCTGTATGCCAGCCCTCAGAACGAGGAGGCGCCTGCCAGCGCGTTGAGCGACAGCAGAGGTCGAGCGGATGGAGGAGGGGACAGGACCTTGGATGTCTTCTTCTCCTTGCCTTGAGCCCGCGCTGAACGACCTCGAGCATCGAAAACTTCGGTGGTCTTGATGTGTGCCCCGCCCTTCTGAAACCCTCCTGCTATTCATCAGAGGAACATCTTGAACATCTCGCCTCCGTCGGCCGACTGACCCACTGTGAAGATGAAGCCATCGAGGCAGGCGATGCCGAGCCCTGCTCGCTCTGTCGGGATGCTCGTCACCTCCTCCCAGTCGTCTTCCTCCTCCTCGTATTGGTACAAAACTTGCTCGCTCGCCCGTCGCGCCCACTTTGTCACCACCATGAACAGCTTACAAACTTGTCAGGGAGGAACGCGAGGCTGGGACCTCACCGTTTCATCGCAGACTGTTGGCATGAAAAGGAGGAGGAGGAGGAGGAGCAGGAGCAGGAGGAGGAGGAGGGAAGAAGGAGATTGAAGTTAGTGAGCAAAGCAAAGCAGGGCGACTGTCGCATTCACCAACAGCAGACGCGAGCGACGTCTTGCCATCCTCGACCAGGCCCATCTCAAGTCCTTTCATAGGATACCTGGAGGTTCCGTTGGGCCTCAGCACATGCAAGAGCACATGAAGGTCTTTCGCTCACCATTCGAGAGAACCAGCATGTTCATCTAGCTCTGTTAAGTTGAGCTTCCATGCTAGGTCGTTGCTCCTTCCTCCCCGCAATATCCCGCCGATCAAGTAAGCTGTCTTCCCTCCATGTCCTCGGCCAGTCACCTTGTCTCTGCCTTCCTCTAGTTCTCTGCTCCTCCTGTCCAGCTGACCTGGCCTCATTATCTCTCGCATGCCCGCTAGCGCAGTCGCTGCCTCCACAACAAGCGATGCAAGTGTTGGTGACTGTAGCGCTCCACGTTCTCTTCCTCTCAGCTCCTCTCCCACCTTCACTTCTCCCACCAGCCCCACCAGCTCCGCCGCCATGAGCGCTGCTGCCGCTATCAGCCATCCCCACATTTCTAATTTATTGACTGAAAAAGAAAGGAACCCGACTCATCCCCCCTCATCCCCAGATCTTCCTGATCCCTCATACATCCCGCATGAAACCCTCTTCCCCGCTCATCCCGCCTTGCTTCGCCGGCTTTTCGTCAAGCTTTTCCGTCATGGTCTTCGAGGCGGTTCCCTTCCTCGCATGCTCGGCGGGGGCGCTGGCGCTGGGAGCGGGAGGATGGACAGTGGCGATGGGGGGAGGAGAAGGCTGGCGATCGTGTGCAGGACGAGAGAAGGGCCCGGGAAAGGGTCTGTCGATGAAGTCAGAGAGGACGATCGATGAGATCAAAGGGAGTCTGTTTCACAGCGACGGCAAGCAGCATGGCAACATCGAGGGGAAGGAGCAGCACACAGGAGTGTCGCCCAATCTCATGCATGTGTTGCATACCATGGCAGGAAACCACCAGAAGATCATGGTGGATGCTGAGCCCAGACCCCTCGCCCTCCCTCCTGCCAACCAAGCACCCAAGAAGGTGTACACCCTCCACGACGGCATCCGGAGAGCCTTCCGGCACGAGCCCGTGTCTTCCTCCTCCGAGCAGCCAGCAGAAGCTTTCAATGGCAGATTCGTTGGCTCCGCGTCTATTCCTCCGCAGACGGTCGCCAGCCAGGCAGCCCCTGTGAAACGTCCATCGTGGCCATACAGCAACACTGGGGCGTTGCCAGGCCAGGCCTTACAGATTTCTCCCCCCTCTTCGCAGTCAGCAGCTCCTGTGATCATCCAGTACGAGACCAAGAGCGAGCAGAGACTCTACCAAGCTCGGCCTGAGTTCACTCCCCGACAAGCCTCACAAGCCGCCGTACAAGCCACCACCACCCTCAGCCCGCAGCGAGTCGCGCGAGTGCTCAACGCTGATCGCATCGCTACTCCCAAAACTCAACAGAGCCAGCAAGCAGGTGAGCAGCAAGACCGTGACGCCGCCGCCCTCCCTGACCCGCTGGATGACCCCAGGGATCGGCATCTCCTTCGTTCCCGACGAGTCCGACAGTATCGTGGTTGCTCACCTCGTGCCGGGTTGCCGTCAGTTGGACTCCTCTTCCTCTTCCTCTGACGCTGCTACTCCCAGGAGGTCCAGCTGAGACGTGCGGCCTGCTCCAGGTCGGGGACAAAGTACTCTTCATCGATGGGATTGAGGTTCCTCTGCCTCGTCCTGGTCCCTCCTGAATGCGCCGGCAGGTCAAGGGCAGAACGGTAACGGACGCCATCAGGATGGTGCTTGGCCCCAAGGATTCCAACGTGAGACTCCAACGTCCAGACCCACACCTCCCCGTCTTCCTTCCTCTCCTTCCCCTCCTCGTCCTCCTTCCCTTGATGCTCGTCGTCTCCAACCTCGCCTGCTGCCCCTGTGCAATGACGAATGACTGCCAGGTCGAGCTGGTAGTCGAGAAGCAGGAGAATCCTCGCAGGATCTTGTCTGTGATCATTCAAAGGTGAGCTGACATCGTCACGCCCAGCAGTGACTCCAGCTGATCTCAGAGTGGCGCCATCCGTGACTCCCCGGCTGTCCAACGTGGGAAAGCCGAGCGGTGGTGGGGAGCAGGTAGCGGCATGCTGATGCTCTTGTGGCCGTGACAATCGCAGCAGAACCGACCGATGGGAAGCGGAGAAGCGATCTTGTGATGCATTGGTGATGGCCAAGGTGATACCCTTGTAATTCTACAACGCGAGGCAAGAAAGGCCCCAGTCACGCACTTTAACTTCATTTCTTGTTTCAATAAATCTCTTGCTGGCGACATTCCAACTTATTGAAGGCTCTGAGACACAATGAGACACAAAGGTGTTCCCCCCTTCCTCTTCTCTTCTCACCTGCTCAGGATACAATTTCTGCACCTCTTCAACTCTAGCTGGGTCCTGCAGTTGGGTAAACCCACATGCCATCGAGAAACATCGAGTACGAGTACCATGTAGTCGGTCTCTACCACTCTCTCATCGAATTTCACGTGATTCAGATCATTCGCTGCTTTGATTGCGCTCTCCTTGGTCTCAAACTGCAAACCCCATCATCCCCTCTTGCAAGCAAGAAACCTCTCGTAACCTGCACGAGCACGTTGCCGATGAGGTCCTGTGAACCATCACGATCGAGTCACTCTCACGATCTGGCACGATGACGATACAACTTACAGCTGGAGCTCCTTCACGCCCTGGCCTCACGATGACGAATCGCACAACCTGAGACAACTGGCTCAGATCGAGTGAAAATGTGTCGGTGCAGGTTCACCTTTCCGTATTCTTCTTCGCACTTTGAGATTGTGTCTGGGAGGCAACACAATTTCAGATCAGAAAGAGGGAGAGGAAAGCACTAACCTTCTGCAATATCCTTGCATTCATCGTCGTTAGCCAGGTCGTCATCCGACATCATGTTCCTGATGACCACGACTTCCGTGGCCTTGGATTCATCGGGGCCATTGAGCATTCCAGCTCCAACAGCTTCAGTCACTCCCTGCGCCAACGTTCAACCTTCTAAATAAGACCCAAGACAAGGCTACCGCGTCGCCGGGTGTTCCCAGGATGCCAGTTCCTTGGCACTGAAGGGAAAGTATCAATTGACTTCACCTAGTGCGAGACTGCTCACTTGAGCAATCAACTCCGCGTTCAAAGGCACGTAATCTGCCGGACGACCCACACGACTAAAAGTGAGACATCAGCAAGAGAAACTGTCAATCCCTCTTTCCCTTCCCATACGAAAGTATGCAAGGGGAATGTTCAAATGGGACACAAAGTGGACCACAACAAATCCCTCGGATCTTCTTACATGGGGCGTCCATTGCATTCGATGCCACTCAAAGCCATTGCGTTATTTGCTTCCGCTGTTTAAGACATCAGCAACGGTATGTTCTTTCAAGTAAACTAATTCGAATTCTCACCAACAGTTCTCATCTCAACAAAGCCAAAGTTTCCATCTCCAGACAGAAAGGAATCTATACAAGGATCTCCAGGTTTGACGACGAGTGACAACTGTGACGGATCATCAAAAAAGTAAGACGCTGTCAGTAGCAATTACCTGCTGCATCGATTGCGAAATGAACTGTTTGAGGCTAAGCAAGTGTTAATCAAATTGTATTTCTTGTTGACAACCTTTTTGTACCTAGCTGAAGTCATGGACCCAACGAGGAGATTTCCAACATGAATTCTGCGAGCCTGAGATTCAAATGTGTCAAGCATCATGCGATTGCATCGCCATTAACAACTTTCACATACCTTCTTGGTTTGTTGCATCAAAGCACTCAAGTTGGCGGCAATACCACCTGCTAAAGCCCAATTCACACTCAAGGAAATCACAACAAGCAGAAGAAGCCAGACGAATGCTGAGTCAGTCTGAATCATGTAAAGGAAGATAACTCTAGTGTTTCAAGAGGCTCCACAGGCAAACAGACAGACAAACGGACAGATGGAACGTGAGAATACCTCCAGATCCCATTAACCCAGCTTGTGCCATAGTCATTATCATCGCATCTAGAAAACATATTTTAGACAAGCAAATAATCAAGAAGGGCTTACCGGGGGCTGGAGGGACATAATCATGTGGCCTGTTCACTCTCAGAGGTGTGCCTGCGATCGTTGTCATGCTCTTTGCAAGTAACGAGAAAGCAAGTGCTTGCGAGCAGTACCGTAAAAAGTAATTCCATCGAGAGTCATGGCACTCGTTGCCTCTTGCACGGTACGAACCTGCAAAGAAATCACAATTGAAGAATCGAAATTGAGGCTGGGACCTCAATGAAAGCAAAGTGCTTTTCTGAACTGATCCAGACATCGCAGACGCAACATCCAGGACTTTGAGTCAGACCAGCCTGTGCAAATTCAGCCTTGAAATAAGCCCCCTGGTCCTGAACCTGGTGCATGGCTTGATCAAAGAACTCTTTCAAAGCCGGTTCACTGATTGGAGGGTCAAGCTGCGGCAGATTTCCAACATAAACGCGACGGGCTTTGAGAGTCAACTATCCATGGACCTCAGAAAACGACTGTTCAAATCGGATCTTACCTGAGGGTTGGCGCTCTGTGCTATAAGTGCTGTGCCATCTGGGCCAAATTCTGGAGGCTTATCCCAGTTGCTATGAAGGTGGAATCAAGAGATTTGCTTGATAAACAAACATGTAATACCTTGCTTTCTTTTGCCTCCTCTCTGGTCGAGGTGAACGTTCCCTTGAAGTGAAAGGTCATACTCAAAAAACTTCAAAACTCTTTCTACCTCTCTTTGCCCCTACTTCGACTCCGACTCCTCCGACGTTCACGTTCACGGTCACCACGGTCACGGTCACCACGGTCACGCCTCCGGTCGCGGTCACTGAGATTATGTGGGTTAGTCTGTGGTGATACTTCAACGCCCTGATGGACTCTACCGACTCCGATGATCCCTGCAAACGTCAGTCAATTTAAACATCATTGATGGAGATTCCAAGAATCAAGAATAACCTGTTCCTGCTCCTTGAACGGGATCGACGTCTACCGTCGCCACGATCGTCCTCAAGACTCGGTCTGGATGACCTCCTCAACTCAACGTATCTTGGAAAACAATTTAGAGACCACGCAGGAGAATACTCGCCTACCTATCTCCAATCATCTGCCTGTCATACGACATGGCCCTGCTTGCATCATCCTACGCCAACACGTCAAATCATATTTTTCAATATGATAAGATGCATACTTCAGATCCAAATTCCACCAAGGCATCACCCGTGGGCCTGCAAAAATGAATGAGAAGCTGCTGCCAGGGTGAGTTATGGACCTTCCATCGGGCCCATGCTCAATCATGATCTTCACAATGTGAAATTGGGGTGCCGGATTGAAAGACTCCGACTTAAAGAAAGCTCGGATGTCTTCATCTTGTACTTTGAACGGAAGTCCTTCGTTCTGTCAGTCAGACATCTATCCCATTCGCAAGGCATCAAGTACCTCTACAACGGAGGACCCGACTCATTTCAAAGAATCTTCTATCAAAACCAAGACATCAGAAACTGCTGCAATTATTTCCCGATCGTAGGATTTTTATCCTCGATAACGTGCAATCATTAAACTACAAGGCTATCAATTCGCAGAAACTTTTGCTGAATCAATAAAACATTGGGAGAAACATTTCACAGGACAAGTTTTCCATTTGTCGCTTCATAAAAGGAAGTGTGAAAAGTTGAAACAGCCTTTGATGAATATCCCACCAAGTCCACATAAAATTTCTTTCTAGCATTGCCGAGATCGAAAGGATCTTCATGTAGTCAGCCAGAACCTAAGCTGCTAAGCTCGCTGATGCGGAAGAGCTAAGAAACTATTTATCCTACTTTGATCCAACAACTTATCCTGATCAGCTTACACATAAACTAAGCTTACGGGATTCAAGACTTTCTTTACATAGAAATTTCAAGCCAAGGCTCAGACAAGATGCCTTCTCGATTGCTGTCGAGTTTCATGCAAGGCCAACCTCTCGCTCGCTCGCTCCACTGGACTCTCACCCTTCTGCTCCTCATTTCCCATCCTCCCTCGCTCTCATATCCTCTCATTCCCCATCCTCCCTCGCTCTCATATCCTCTCATTCCCCATCCTCCCTCGCTCTCATATCCTCTCATTCCCCATCCTCCCTCGCTCTCATATCCTCTCCTCATCCTCCCTCGCTCTCATATCCTCTCATTCCCCATCCTCCCTCGCTCTCATATCCTCTCATTTCCCATCCTCCCTCGCTCTCATATCCTCTCATTCCCCATCCTCCCTCGCTCTCATATCCTCTCATTCCCCATCCTCCCTCGCTCTCATATCCTCTCCTCATCCTCCCTCGCTCTCATATCCTCTCCTCATCCTCCCTCGCTCTCATATCCTCTCCTCATCCTCCCTCGCTCTAATATCCTCTCATTCCTCATCCTCCCTCGCTCTCATATCCTCTCCTCATTCTCCCTCGCTCTCATATCCTCTCCTCATCCTCCCTCGCTCTAATATCCTCTCATTCCTCATCCTCCCTCGCTCTCATATCCTCTCCTCATTCTCCCTCGCTCTCATATCCTCTCCTCATTCTCCTCCTATCCCTTCACGTCTTTCTTCTTCGCACGCGTCCTGCTTCCCGCCCTCCTCCCGCTTCCTCCGCCCTGACCACCCCCACCCCCCTATTCTCCTCGAGAACCACGGTTCTTGCATTCACCCTACCCATCTACATCCGGTTCTCTCTGACTGCCATGACCCCTACATCGTGTATTGGATGACCCCACTATTTAGCATCCCCTGCACTCCTCTGAGATGACCACCCCTACATTTGCAGAGGATCTTACCTACCCATCTCTTGCCCCGTTGAAGTATGGGTGGGGGTATCAGTTTTGACCCTACCCTTCCTGAATCGATCAATCCTGAGCCTGACCACCCCGTCATGATATGAGGTTCCTTTGATCTGACGTATGTCTATTCAGGTTCATATGATTCAGTTGCTGTCTTTTGCAAAAGCTCTACTGTAGCTCTGAGGTGAACTCGAATTGATAGATGATCGACCCACTGACACTAGACATGTCACCATCGTGATTTAAAAGTAGTGTAGCACTTCTTGTCCAAGCTCTGACATGTGTAGCGTAGACTGTTAAAGCTCAACTCAGTTTCCGTCTGAATTCATGCACCCTGGATTCAGTGCGCTTCAACACTGCCAAATTAACCACAAGTGAAGCTGTGTGAGGACTGACAGTTTACTTCAAAAAATTTATATGAAAGACCTTAACATTGTCCTCACTTCAGAATGTTTTTCACATTTAGCCTGAATTACGTTTGGCTGAGTAAGTTTTGTTTTTAATCAATGTAGAAATACTCATATAGTGTCTGGAGCCGACATACTGTAACAGCACATAACCACATATGATCTCACCGAAAATTTCATTACAACAACATCACAGATTCACATGCAGCGGATGTAAAATCATCAAGATCTTCTCAAATAATATCAAACCAGTCTTTCATATTTAGTTGGTTGGGGCGCCAATCTCCAGGAAAGTATTCACATACTGCTTGGCAGCTCTTGTCCAGCTGTAGTCCTTGGCAGCAGCCATGGCGTTGACCTGCATCTGCTTGTACTTGTCCTTGTTGCCGTACAAGGAAATGGCGCGGTTGAAGTTCTTCACGAGCATCTCGACATCCGCAGGGGTGATGTCGTCCTGATCAACCTCGTGCTCCATTACCAACCCGGTCTCCATGTCACTGACGGTGTCCAGCAAACCTCCAGTAGGGCAAACGATGGGCAAAGTTCCGAACCTCATTCCCTCCATTTGCACCAGACCGCAGGGCTCATACCTAGAGGGCATGATGGCGAAGTCAGCGGCGGCGTAGGTCTTGTACTTCTCCTGGCCCTTGAAGGAGAGGACAGCCTTGAAATTGTTGGGATATCTCTCCTCCAGTTCCGCAGCAACCTCCTCCAGCTCCTCAATGCCAGAGCCCATGGTGACAAACTGAGCGTTCATGCCTCCCTTGAGCGCTGAATCGATGGCCTCGAACATGATGTCAACTCCCTTCTGTGCATCGAGACGTCCCATGAAAACAAACATGGGGATGTTCTCGTCAACAGCAAAGCCCTAAGACATGTCAGACTTAACAATACAAATACAAGTTCACTCACCAACGACTTCTGCATGGCAGTCTTGCCCTGGGCCTTCTTCTCGAGACTGGCACCGTCGTACATGATGTCGAGTCCGAGCTCAGCGTTGCTTGGGTTGACGATGTCCTCAACGCCGTTCAAGATGCCCTTGATGCCAGTCTTGGTCAGGATCTTCTCGAGCTCAGCACCCTTGGCGGAGCTGGAGGCAACCTCCTTGGCATACTGAGGGGAAACGGTGAGGACGGCATCGGAGAACTTGATGGCTCCAGTCAAGAAGTTGAGGACGTCCATGGGAGGGTTGGGGATCTCGACGGACTCCTTCAAGCCCTTGGAAGCCTTCTTTTGACGTCCAACCTTGAGGGGCTGCTTGGTGACCATTTCGTCCACCATCGCCTGGGGGAGACGAAGACGGGAGGCAGCGTTGGGATCATAGGGGAAGCGACCCTGGAATACCATGTTGTGAAGAAGGCAAGCGCTCTTGGCCTTGAACCATCCAGTGCCCTCCTTCTGAGCCTTCTTCAAGTACATGGGTACCAAGGCAGCATGCCAGTCATTGGCAACGAAAATGACATCCTGGCCATAGGGGTATCCGCCGAGAGAAAGCTTCTCGGTTGCAGCCATTGCAGCAGCGCAGAACATAGCGAACCTGAGCTGATTGTCCTCGTAGTCCTTGCCCCACTTGGGACCATAGAGCTTCTGCTTGGACAATCCCCAAACCTTCTCCAAGAAGAGAGGATGGTCAACAAACACGCGGTCGACACCCTTCTTGAAGGCGTGGAAGAAGCGGACGGTGGTGGTGGTGTCCCCCAAAGGAACTTCAGCGGTAAACTCAGTGTCCCAGGCATCGTAGTACTGATCGTAGCGGGGAGCAATGGACATCACACGATGTCCCAGCTTGGCAAGGGCGCGAGGAAGACCGTCACAAACCTGAGACAAGCATGTCAGATGCTTTGAATTTCAGACACAAACAAGACCCACCGCTCCGAGTCCTCCAGTCACAGACCACGGGGCGATCTCAGCAGACACGAACACAATCTGAAGCTTCTGGTCGGGAACAATGGCATCGGAACCGGCACCACCACGGAGGGACATGCGAAGATCCTCGCAAGTCATGAAGTTACGGGTCACCTTGCTGCCACCCTGGGGCACGTAGGCTTCTGGATCCCCATACTTGTCATCCTCACCCTTGCCCTCCTTGGACAAGCGGAGTGCACTGCGAGTGAGCGATGGGATTCTGTGGGATGAAGAGAACGAAGACACGCCAGTGGAAGCGTTGGAAGGGGTGAGAGAGAGGAGGGAGAGGGAGAGGGAGAGGACTGCCGCCGCTGACAGAACGGAACGGCGCATGGCAGCGGGTTGGGATGCAGCACAGCACCGCGAGGAAGCTTGAGGGCAGAAGAAAGAGCAGGGGGACCCGCCAGCAGCATGAAGGGTTACGTTGGGGGGAGGGTACTGGGACCCCTGTTGAATCCCTGCAAAAGCAGGGTAGGGGTGCCATCACCCACCTACTCTCTTCCATGATTTTGACACTGGGTGGTGATCTTGCGATGGGGAAGCAGTACTGTAATATATTTAAGTAAACTTTTGTTTACTAATTGAATCCCCTTTAATACCACAAAAAGTTTAGATATCAAAATCGTGCGGTGTTTTGGTGGTCTCAGTGATGAGGCACATTGGGAGAGGGTAGGAGGGTAATCGGGGCGTATGGGGGTCGTAAAAAAGGGGTCCAGACCCTCAGGGGAGGTAGGGTGCTAACAAGCCCTACCCCTACATATGACCAATTAACAACGGGAAGGGTGGGGTATAGAGACCACCCCATCAGTACGAAATGAGGGTTATCAACAAAGATTTTAAAGATGGGGGCGAGATGGTATCATTCTCAGACCCCAATAGGTAGGAAATAGGACTTCCTACTGATGATTGATAACCACCCGTTCTATCATCATGCAGGGACGGGGTCCACGGTTGTTGGGACTCGAAGTGTGAATGATCGCAGTGGACCCGGGGTGGGGTGGTTTTCGAGGAATTTGTAGGGTGGGGTGAAGGATCCTAGTCGTAGGCGTAGATTCAGTTTTGACACTACAGAAGGGGGTAAAGGAAGGTGTGATCGGGGGTGGGGTGGTCTTATGAAGGTACGACAAATACGCCTCGGTAAAGGCAAAAAGGTGTTGCAGTGGTGGGGGTGGGACAAGGGATGGTGTAGGGGTACGAGAGCCCTCCCCTCTGGGAGGTGTAAATGTACTTTCACATGAACCTGGGGGGTAGGGTGGTAGAGAGGGGTAGTCGAATGATGAAGCTCTCAATGCTCGCCGAAGTTCGACATTTGCTGTAGATGGTAGGGTGATGACGGCGAGAAGGAGGGGTTCACCATGGCGGAAGGGGACCGATCAGGACGTCGAACTGTTGCAGGTACGAAGGTAAGGCATTTCCTTGTAGGGGGGTAGGGTAATGAAAGATGGGGTGGGTACAGGGTGGGTGAAGGTTATGTTGAGCTACAAATAGTGAGGGTGGGGTAGTGGGATGGGACGCAAAGACTCGAAAGGGGGCAAGGCTCTGACGTCGTTTCAGTCGATTGGAGAGACAATACGATACCAGGGGGTGGGGTGGATAGGGGATTCCCTTTAGAGCGTCAGACTGAACCCTGAGGCAGGAAATAGGGGGTGGGGTGGTGGCAATTCCCGAAACTTGACGTCCGGCAGTGTGCAACATGGGGGTGGGTGGATACGAGGGGGGCTGAGGGTTGGTTTGGGGAGTCGCGGAATGAATCATGAGCTCCCGGAATGCTGAAAGAGTAGGATTAGGCTGTTGACTAAACATTCATGGTTCAATCAAATGGGGTTTTGAGGGGCCCAATCAAAAAGGGACGGTTCATTCTTTGTTGACCCTCAAAGATCCTCGTGGGACGGTCGGACTCCAGTAGCCTGTCACGGAAGTCACGCGCGAGTCACCACTGTGACCGAACAAAGACTCTTAGCAAGTTGCCGGGGTGCCACGGTGACTCGGCGTGACTCGCCCGGCACGGCCGCCGGGCGGGGGCGGCCGGCGGCGGGCCCCGCGGCGCCGGCGGCCCGGGCCCCGCCGGCCCGACCCGGGCCCCGCTGTACGGTAGCGGCTCGCCGGGGTAGTACGGTAGCCTTTGAAGTCCCAGCCCGGGCGGCGGCTTCAACTTGCGGCGGCCGCGCCGCGCCGGCCAATCATTGACGGAGCCTTTCAAGGCCCGACTGATGAGTCACCGGGTTCAACGTCCGATCGCCGGAGTCGGCCCGGCGGACAGTGACTCCGGCGGCCGCTAGAGAGACTGCTGGCGGATCATAGCAGATCCGGCGGATCATCAGTGCATTGAAAGATTTTACTATCATTGATTCATTCAGTGAAGGGCATCAAGACGAACCCTCGAGAGTTTACAAGTTGAAGTCAGGGAAGAGGGCACAGGTGATGAGCATGTACAGGAGCTGATTGACCGTCATACGGTTGGCCATCAGTACGAGGTCGGGACGAGGACGTAGCCGCATGTCATGTCGCCGTTTCTGTCTCGCGGGTCGCAGGGGACGAAGTCGATCGCTTGTGACTTCTTCACTCTCCATCCCAGCCGAGACAAGAATCGCCTGACATGCTGCTGATCCTCGGGCACCTGATGGTCCAACAGGCTCTCGTAGGAGCTTGGCCAGTCCAGCACCGTCGGCAAGGTGAGGAGGGAGTGACTCAAGTAGAGCGATCGAGCGCTCTGGAAGGCAAGCGAGTCTTTCCAGTCGCTCTCCATCCGCTCGAAGGGGCTCTCGTCGACTATGTCTTGAGCGCTGAGGATAGCCTCCAGTAGCCTCCCGCACACGTGGACCGTGTTGACCTCTGCTGTCTGCTCCAGCTGCTCCGCCAGGTTCGCCGCGTCTCCGAGCAGGTGGAAGCGAGCTTGCGACCTGCCCAGCAGCCCGCAGGCAACGTCGCCGATGCCGATGCCGATCCTGCAGTTGAGCTGATGCCTGCGAGACTCGTTGTACCTCTTGAGAGTGGAGATCATCTTGCGAGCGAGGTCGAGCACAAGCAGGCAGGTCGTCTTCGTCTCGTCTCTGGTCTGCCAGTCGTCGCCGTCAGGCAGCCACCCGGCCACTATGTACGCGTCTCCGATGGTGTCCATCTTGTAGAGCTGGAGGGTGACGACGCTCTTGTCGAAGCTCGAGAAGATTTCGTGGATCATCCGGGCCAGCAGGAGGGGGTTGAGGTCTCTTGACATTGTAGTGAACTTGCAAATGTCGAGCTGAAGGACAACCGCCTTCTTCATGGCGCAGCGAGACTCGAGGGGCTTGAGCAGGAGATCCTCTGCCACACTCTGAGGCATCAGGTCCCCCAGGATCTTCTGGAGCTTCCGGAGCTCGATGGCGTAAGCCTTGTAGAGCCTCCAGTGGATCCGCTCGACGCGCTCGAACTTTCGCTTGAGGGTCCAGGACGTGAAGCAGGTCAGGAGGAGCTCGAGGACGATCGCTCCTCGTCCCTCCTTGTGGCTCTTGAGCGAGATGAGGAGGATGGGCACAGAGCCTGCCACGAGGTTGATGTAGAGGTTCTGCTGCCGGGAGACGCCGCTGACAAGCGAGTGAAAGCTCGAGAAGACGCAGGTAAAGATTATGCTCCAGCCGTCGTCTGCCCCATGCAGATTCGCGTACAGGGAGGAGAGGAAGAAAAGAAGCTTGATGCCGATGAAACTCCACTGGCATGTCTCCCATGTGCATCGCTCAAGAAACGCGAAGGTGATGAGAAGTAAGCTCAGTACAAAGTTCAAGCACAAATTTGCTGTGAGGATGCGGAACACCATGCTCCTCTCCTCCTCCACCTCCTCGGGAAGGTCTCTTGCCGCCGCCTGCCATCCACCAGAGAAGTTGATAGCAACGAACTGGATGAGGACAGCGCAAGAGTGGACGACGACGCCGAGGCAGAGGAATCTGCGGTGCTTCGCCGTGTAGCTCGCAAGGAACTTTCGCTCAGTCTGCGCGTGCACGAAGCAAGACTCGCTCGCGTCAATCTCATAGCGGGCCCCTCGAATCACCTTAAGCGTCGAGCTGCTCAGAAAGTCGATGTCCCTGGCATGCGAGAGGTCTAACGCCTGCCAGGCGGAGGGGGAAGAGGAGGTTGAGGAGGCCATCGTGGGACTGGAGCAGCACGACTCCTTCCTCGGCTCGAAGGAGGTGTAGCTGTCCTCAGCCCTCTTCACTTCGTCAACCTCCATGCGACCCAGACCTTTGATGTCGAGATGCTTGTAAGCCTGACACGTCAGGCTGTCTCGATGCTCATCGATCAGCTTGGAAAATTCTGGAGTGCACAAGACGCGGTTGGCAGGCGAGTGCTTGCACAGGCGAGCTGCGATGTTGGTTGTGTTCCCGTACACACAGTAGTACTTGCGATGAATCCCCACGATGGCTCCAGCAACGTCGCCGTAGCTAATCCCGACCTTAAGGCTCAGCTCCGTGTCGTTCAACCTGTAAAGCTTGACAGTATCAATCAGCTCACAAGCCAGTGACGCCATGGCTGCGGCATGATGCCTCGAGTCTCCATGCTCATCGTTGCTGTCAAGCGGCTTGGAGGCACGCGGGCACGTGATGATGTACCAGTCGCTGACATGCTGATACTTGTACATGCCATACCTCGACACAGCTGCATCGAACGATTCGAAGATGCTGTTCAGCAGTTCAAAGCACTGGCCCGCTGGAATCTGCTTGAAGGATTCTCTAGGTTCCACTGAGCAAAACATGACGACACAGTCCTTGATGGTGGTTCCGAACATCTTGTCGCTGCTCTTGTTGCCTGCGAGCTTGCCGACCACGCTTTCCGGCACGAGGTTCTTCACAATCCTCCTGTTCTCTTCTGCGACGTACTTGGTCTTCTTGGCTAAGATGAACTTTTGAATCTCTTCTTGATAGTTGCGACAACAGACAACAGAGCTTGCAACGCCTATGACGAGCTGGAACAAAACGAGCGCATAGTCTGCCGAGAGGGTAGAGCCAGAAAGAAAGATGACAAATAAGAGAGAGAGAGTCGAGAAGAGACACAGAGCAAGCGCAGCCTTGCCGCTTGCTCGGAAGATGATCGAGTTGATTGAAGAGATGAGAAGCAGGACGGCTCGATGACCTCCCGTCACCATGTTGCCACATCCAGAGCTCTCAAACGATGGCCAGAACCACAATGTTCGCAAAGGATCCAGGTCTCTACAGTTGCGAATGCTCCAGCCCTTCTGCACCGACCTGCTCACTTGGATCCATGGAGCTGGTCCTTGCTTCCTGTAGCTGGCTTGAAGGTCTTCGAGGAGATAGGGCACTGTGGCGGTGACGACCGAGAATGCAAGGAACGCAACGACGATGAAGTCATAGTTGCGCATGTTCCACAACCTGAACTTCTTGTCGCTGAGAGTCCTACCCAAGAAGAAGCAGAAGAGGGAGTTAAGTAAGAAGGGGCAGTAGGTCAGCGAGTAGACCACTAACTTCTTCCCTGCTGCCAGCGCTTGAAAGCCTTTTAGGATGAAAACGAGAAGATATGCAGGAGTTGCGTATTTGATGCAAAATTGAATTTCTGTGGTGGAGTAACGTGCTTCTTGAAATTCGCACTTCCAATCTTCCCGAAAAGTTGTGACGCTGATCATGTCCAAGTGGTCTCGGTCGTGATTGCGCTTTCCAAGAGACGACGACGACGACGACGACGACGACGACGACGACAATGACTCAGGTTTGAGATATGTCATTGTTTTGATATGTGACAGATGCAACTTGTTCCTGTTCAAAACCCAAGTCCTGACATTCAAAGGTTATTCCAGTCTTTTTGCTGATATTCGGTGACCATTCGAAATGAGTCCGATCGCTGAAAAGCAAGAAAGTCACAAATGCAAAAAGGCCATGTCAAATGTTTGTATGAGAACATCAAAACAAGAATGATTGAACGGTATGGATTCCTACAGCAGATTTGAGCATCTTCCACAACAGCATCTTTCTACTGAAAAGGAGCATATGAACTAACTGTTGCTTCCTACTCCTCCCGCCATCCTCGCTACAAGTTTTCTTTGCAATCAACCCTGTACCCACCACTGTCCGATTGGACCCCTTTGCTATCAGTCAAAATGACCCCTCCTGTGAGGGGGGTTCCTATGAAGCACCCCTAGTCCGGTAAACCCAATGCAGAAAAAGAAAAGGTCAGATACCCCACCCATGAAAATGACCCCACCCGTTCCATACCAGTTTAGTACCCCCTTATTTTACCATTGAAATTTGGGTCAAAAGTACCCCTACCCTCCCATGCAGTGGTGTTAAGGTGGCTGGTCTTAACTAACCTTCGATGTATTCACGAAAACACTCGTTTTCGAGCTTCTTGACTGGTGGTTCAGTGAGGGGATGAGGGTATTTGACTGTCAGCGCATGCCTGACATCCCACTACCCCTCATACCCCTCATACCCCTCATACCCCTCATTCCCTGCCTCATCCCCCCTCATCTCCCCTCATCCCTGCCCTCATCCAGCACCTGTTCTGGCCAGTGTTCTGCAGAGTGTTCTGGCCCTCATCTGCTGCAGATCTGCTGCCTCATCTGGGCCAGTCATCTGGCCCTCATCCTCCCTTCCTGCTCCCTTCTCTCTGCAGCTCCTGTGCAGCTCCTGTACTGCTGCTGTACCTCTCTGCCTGTACCTGCTCCTGCAGCAGCTCCTGCAGCAGCTCCTGCAGTGCTTCTGTACCCGCTCCTGTCTCTGCTCCTGTGCCCTCGCCTGTATCATGCTCCTGTACCTCCTGCTGTACAGCCTGCTGTACCTGCTCCTGTACCTGCTCCTCTCTCCTATTCTCTCCTCCTCTTACACATCCTCCTTCCTCTACTCTACTCTCGTGCCTATCTCTCTTACTGTCTTCTCCTGTGCCTCTTTCCTTTTACACCGCTTCTTGTACCTCCTCTCCTCCTATTCCTCCTTCGTGTGTACTCCTGGATCAATTTCTCTCCTGATGTAACTCCTTGCGACTCATCCTCCTCCTGTACCTCCTGAATTTTCTCCCTCTCCCCTCTCCCTTCTCCCCTCTCCCCTCTTCTCATGTACCTCCTATCTCGTGATGTACATACTTATGTCATGACCCAGTTCTCCCACTTCCTCTTGTTTTCTATCTCTACTTCCCTTGCTACTCCCAGGAACCCTCGTTTTAGTTCTTTGTCTTTCCTCTCCTCCTTATCTCTTTCCTTTCATTGGAGGAGAAAGAGGTCGAAGGTGAGAGAAAGGAAGATGATGTGAGGCAAGACAAGATGGAAGAGAACTTCAAGGGCAGGTGTTCGAAATTGCGTCGCTCACTTGTATCAGCTCTAGTTATCGAACACCTCTTCCCACGTCAGAGAAGGCCTTGAAGCTGATGCATGTCGATGACTTGTGCCGGCAACGTGATCATGTGTGTTTGGCATCAATGAAGTCATCACTGCTCACCGATATGACCTCACACTGAGCGATTCACACGCCTGAATTCTCGCCTGCTGGTTCCGTCTGAACTCACAGGTCAAAGTCTCCTGGAGGTTGCGGTGGGGATGGGTCGTGAGGCATCGAAGATCCGACAAGACCACGACTGATCCGAGCGATCGAGCGAGCGAGCGGAGAGAGGAGGTAGAAACCTCAAACGTCGTTCTCATGAGACATACAGGTTGCTTTCATTCTCATCAATATTATTACAGGTAAGGTTAGCAAACTGGTGACATCCCTCTGCTTCTTTCGCATGCGGCCAGGCACACGTTAGAGCCTTTGAGCACGGATGAGCTTGAGTTGAGGATGCCGAGGTCGGGGTTCAAGCTTTGCAAGCTCGCAAGTGAGGATCGGAAGGCGCAGGCGAGTGCTCCAGCCTGTGCGTCTCCCTCCAGCCTTTGCAAAAGCCCCACCCACACGATGAACTTTCCCCGCTGAGAGAGCAACGGCAGGAGACTCGGGTTGTCCAGTACCGCTTGACTCAACGAACCATTCCTGCAGTCAAGAAACGGAGGACAAGCAGTGCCCAATACAAGCGAAGAATCATCGTTCAACGTCCACAACCTCATCCAGTTAATGTCGATGCCCAGCTGAACCCGAACTGAGCTGAGAATGTTTTCTTCCACGCAATACCTGCACTTGTGCGTCTCCAAACGCATGCAAACAGGCAAACAGCGACGCGAGCAATCAGAATCGTACATGCAAGGCTCCATATTGTCCGAGCAAGTTCCGTTACTGATCAACAGCCCGTTCACGTCAAGAGCAGCGACACACAGGAACATGCGGCTTCCTTCTGAGCCTTTCCTGGGAACCACTTGCAAGTCCAGCAGACTGGAGTTGGTGGAGATTGAGGGATAACCGACAACCTCGATCGCTCCTTCTTCTTCAACCCACGTCCGCCTAGAAAAGCGCTCTACTACGATACCCGATGATGGAATGGCGCGACTGACAAACGCTGTCCTAACTGACAGCACGCAGCCGACGTACATGGACATGATCTGATCTTGCAGTAGAAATCTGTCGAACCAATCAGCTTTCCACACGTGTGTCGTTCGTCGGACGGAGATTGTGAGGTTGAAGTAGTTGCCTGACCAACCCATGGAGGAAGCATCGCGGATCCCATGTAGCGCGCAGTAAGAAGAGGAGTCTCTCGGATAGAAGCTCAGCCTGACCGTCGTGTTGGCGTTTTGAGCAAGGGGAGCGTACTCAACCTGCAGCTTCGCCTGGTTGCATCTCGTGTCCACGGGACAGAAGGAGGTCTGGGAGGGAAACCCCCCGCACGTGCAGTAGTCTCGTCCGGGAGGGCAGGACGAGCAGCAGCTCTGCGATTGCGAGGGACACGAGTCGCTCAGCACCGTCTCCGGCATGCACAAGGTCGGGCTGAGCCTCAAGCCCGTCGGGAGCACCCCCTGCACTAGGGCAAAGATCTGGACTGAGTCCTGCGGGTTCGGGTCCCTCGCTACGAGCTCGATGACGATCGAATCCGTCGCGCTGATCTCGATCTGCATGGCTCTGTCCTTGTACGGGTCCCGCCGATGATCCTCAGCGTAGGAGGCTAGAGGGCAAGGCAGAGAGACGGAGTTACGCGAGCCCCTGGCTCTGAGCGAGATGATACAGCCCTGCTGGTTCAGCTGGAAGTAAGGTGGGGCCTGTAGGTTGAGGATCCACCGCTGAATCAAGCTTGCGTAATTGCCAAGAGCGTGTTCACTGACTGACATCTGATCCAAACAAGAGGCTTGGAAGGCATAGCACTCCAGCTTGGGCCGCTTCCCCACCCATCTGTGGTACACTGACTTGGAGTTGTCGATGGAATAAGCAACAATCTTGATGTCTTCGTTCAGATAGATGTTCGGGCAATAGCTGCTCCCAGCACACACGGAATCTACAAAAATTCCATTGCCCTCAGTGATATTGAGAGAATAAGACAAGGCTGTGGAGACAGGAGAGCTGACGTAAGTGAAACTGCTTGATAAAGGTGCTAGGATGGAGCTGTCGCGTGTAGGATCTTCGAGTTGGTACTGGGGGTTCACCCTTGGCGTCACCGGAGAGAATCCATAGGGAGAGAACCTGCCGCACTGACTCACTTGCGTCTGATTGCTGGTCAAATTGCTCGGATATTCTGTGTACAAGTGAATTTTAACATTGTTTGCGCTGGTAGAACTTTCCACGGTCTCTTGCGTGTTATGACCTAAACAAGCAGGAAAGAAATAGAACTCTGAGTCAAACTGATAACCAGAACGATAGGTGAAGTTTTCCTGCGAGGCAGTGTAGGTGAAGGTGGGAATAGGGCCGGATACATGAAACCGAACGCAGTAAGGTGAGCTGAGAAAGCTGTAGCCACCAGCATGTGTCCTTGCCATGAAGCAGATGTTGTCATTCTCTCCTACCGCTTCACTGCGAGGGGTGTAGTAGTACCTGCACTCCAGACGAGAGATCTGCTGGAGGTTGCAGGACCCGCAAGGGAGGTAGGGGGCTATCATTTCATTGAAGCAATCGCTCGAGCTGAAACTCTTTCTCGTGTTGTTGTACCAGAAGTCTTGGCCGACAGCCAACGCAAAGCCTGGTGCTGCTGTGATCAAGATCTCGTCGACTTGCTGCTCAGTGTAGATGATCAAATCGGCGTAGCAAGGAGCGGAATCTTGGATGTTGCATACGATGTCTGAATTCCAATTCCTCCAATAAGGCATGTAGGGAGAAGAATCTTGATAAAAAATGGAGAAAGCAGCTGTGACGACGGTTCCATTGGAAGTATTCGGAGGAATCGATTGCAATTCCCACCTTTCAACATTGTTCCACATGTAGTCTGACATTTGCACTGCGTAAACTTCCGACCAGCCTTGAGTGCTTGAGCTCACTAAGTGAATCGAGGGGCCATACAACGGGTCGAAGTCATGAAAGAGGTCCAGAGCGCGGTAACGTACAGAGCTATTACATCCCTCAAGTTTGCATAGCACGGGAAACAGCTTGAGCATCTGACCGTCATAATCATGCACCTTGACAAAGACATTCCCGGGCACAGAGTCATGGGACATGAAGATCGCCAAGGGAAATGATATGTTGGGAGAATAAAAGTTCTGCAATCGGAAGGGAGCGAGTGTAGGGATACAATCATAAACGTCTTGTTTCAAGCCTGTACAGTTGTTGCAACAGATCTTGACGTAGGTGGTGAGTAGCGAGGGGTCGTTACACATGACCACACTGTCCTGCCAGTAATGCAGATTATACCCACTACAAGGAACAAAAGGGAGTGAAGAACAACTGTTGTGCACTGATTTTTGTTGTAACCATGCTATCATAGCAATGCCTCTCTCATCCACCGCGATAGAGAAATTCATCACTCCACTGACATACTCCCAAGACCCTTCGAGAGCCGACAAGAGCGTCATGTCATTCACCTGCTCCACTTCCTCGCTGTTGGCTCCGCAAGCTTCATCAAAGCATGTCCGAACAACTACCTTCCCCAGCTCTCCTGCTTCTGCACAGGCTGAGAGAGCAGCGCTTGACGTCGCTGCGGACGCACAATTCGTCAGGTTTGTCCATGCGGATCGCAATGTGAAGCTGACGACTCGCGTGCCTTGGCGGAAGGCTGGGTGGATGGACCAGGAGAGAGAACCGCCGAGGAAGCGAGAGGAGTTGAAGCAGGCGAGGCAGCTATTAGTACCGCTGCCATCATCGTAGTAGCCCTCAATGCAAGCGCATTGACTCTTGGAGGTAGAACCGAAAGCACTGGTCGTGAGAGCGGGGCACTTGAGGCACGTCAAGGTCCCGGAGCCGTCATCGTAGTAACCAGCGGGACAGGAAGCGGAGGAGAGGGCGAGCCAACCATGGAAGAGAAGGAGCAACGTGACCCACCGCATGCACTCACACTGAGCTCACTGAGCTTATGCCCCGCGCCGTCCCCAAGCCCCTACGCCAGCGAGCAAGCAACTGCACCACAAGCAGACGAGGAGTTGCCCAAAAACTATAACGGTTGATAACGGTAACCGGTCCTACATCGTGAGGCGGAATTGACAAGAAATCAGCCAAGCCTTGACAGCGATCATCACAGGTACTAGTCTTTTACTTTCGGAGGGCATGACGAAAGGAATTGAAAGGAAAGCTTCTAACAAACAAGCCTTACAAACAACTTTCATCCCCTTACCTTCGTCTTGTTTCGTTTGATGGATACCTGGGGCCTGAGCTGCGTTTTTCGGTTGCAACATGCTGAGAAAGAAGAGAAAAGAGGAGAGAGAGAGCAGAAGAAGATACTAGTTTTTTGTGGCTCGCCAAGACCAACTGATGGCGTTGAGTGATAGAGACTCTGCCTAGACAAGTGAACAGCTCGACAATGAAATTAGCTGTTGTGAGATGAGCTGTCCAGCAATCTAGAAGCTCCTTGTAGAGGATAATGCCAATACGACATCAGATGCTATAGTGTTGATACATCATCAGATGCTAGTGTTGATACATCATCAGATGCTAGTGTTGATACATCATCAGATGCTAGTGTTGATACATCATCAGATGCTAGTGTTGATACATCATCAGATGCTAGTGTTGATACATCATCAGATGCTAGTGTTGATACATCATCAGATGCTAGTGTTGATACATCATCAGATGCTAGTGTTGATACGACATCAGATGCTAGTGTTGATACATCATCAGATGCTAGTGTTGATACAACATCAGTGCAGCGATGCGTTCCCACGTTACTGAGACAAAGAAAAAACGTACCTCGAGAGTTGGCGGCAATGTTGCCGTTGGTACTCATAACCGTCAGTCAAAATCGTCTACTTGTGCTTGATGGTCGGGTCGCTGAGAGAGAAAGACAGAGAAAGGGAGGGACAGGCAGGTAGGCAGGTAGGCAGGTAGGCAGGTAGGCAGCCTGACTGACTGACTGACTGAGGCAGAGAAAGAGGCAGAGGGAGAATCTGATCATTGAGGTTTCTAGCTATTCCTTCACCGCATTGAAGCCTGGCGTCATCATGGAACGAGAAGCTCTCGGCGACTCAGATTGGGTTCTTTCTATCATTTTGCAACACGCAGTGACACTAGCCCGACAGTCAGAGGAAGGCTTTCACGAGTTGCTGATCCCTCGCAACTCAAGTCCATCAAGCCTCGGAAGCGTGGGGCTGACCTTTTACAAAGTGTTCAACGGGCCTTGCATCGTATCTAGTCTGCAAGCAGAGGTGCAAGAGGGTGTGTGATTCAGAAATGATGACAGGCGGTGTCGTACGTTCTTGCAGGGATCGGCAAAGAGCTTTGGCCTGCGTGCTGGAGATGTCATTCATAGGGTTGATGGGCATGACGTCTTGAGCTTGTCCTCGAATGAAGTGACGGCCCTGATTGTTGGCCCTCCAGGCTCTTCAGTTTCTTTTCAGATCAGCAGAAGCAGGTTCGGAGCCTTCGACAAGGTCAAGTTTGCTCGCCAGACCCGACAAGCTCTCGTTGCCCGAGGCAGCAGGGGTGCACACATGGGACGGGGAGCTTTGACGAGTGTGGGAATGACCTGTGCCAAAGTTGAGCATCCAGGGCCGTTCATAGTGACATCGATGGAACGATCGGTCTGAACCGTCTGTTGAATCTGCCCGCCTCTCAACCTCCTTGGATGCAGGGAACAGCCTTCTCAAGCGGCCTCGTCCGTGTTGGGCAGATCCTTCATGAGGTAGAGGGGAGAAGCACGAGCGTGATGAACTTAGAAGAACTCGACTCTCTTCTCTTGGGAAGGCCTGGCTCCCTGGTTCACTTGGTGCTTTCCAGCCATGCGCTCGATGTCTCCGGCAATCAGAATGTAAGACTTGGACGGTCACAAGAGACTGCGATCTCTGACCTGATCCTCACTCAGTACATCGAATCGCAAGTCATCTTTCGAAACCAGCAAGGTAACGTGGGGATGGAGCTCTGGAAGGGTCTTCATGACGTCTTCGAAGTGCTGTCTGTTCAGCCCGAGGTCTCCTCTCTCTTGCGTGGGTTTTCCTTTTTCTCACTTACAGGTGAAGGGGCCGGCAGACACCGCTCGCCTGCAGGCCGGAGATGTCATCCATGCTGTAAACGACATGAGGTCCCAGTCTCCTCCTCTCAGTCACTTGCTGAACCCGATGATCCGCCCTCAGCGCCCATCTGCTGAGTAGTGACCAACTCAAAAACTTTTTTCGTGGGGAGCCGGGGTCAAGACTTGTGGTGTGGAAACAAAGGAAGCCCCTCCGTCTAACGCAGCAAGAGCGCATCAATGCAAGGTCAGACCAAACGCGGTCTGTCCGTCGCCTGTGCTAACTTGAAAGCCTGACCGCAGTGATAGTTTTCACGATTCTTCACCTCGGGGCTTTTATCAAACTTTGAATTAAGATATTTCAGTGACTTAAAAAATCAGAACAAGGACAACACCATCGAGTCGCTATTATCATTTACTCCAAGTTAAGTTGAAAATCAGTACGAGGACAATCAGCAAACCCTCACTGTGACACTGTCGCACGATCGGACAGCGAGAACCAACCCTTATCCTGCCGATTGCTGTCCCCCAAACTTAACTGATCTGGCATGGCCCGACGTAGAGCTTTACAGCACTTCAGTAGTGTGAACGCTCCGGCCCGGAGTAACTCGGATACTACTCAGTGACGAGCCCAGGCCGCTGAGGCTGAGGCTTGTCAGTGTAGTATCCGAAATAGTATCCGAGATGGTATCCGGCATAGTATCCGAGGTGGTATTCGGAGTCAGATCCGGAGTAGTATCCGAAGCGCTTCACGTGCGAGCATGCCGGCGAAGACAAAAGAGAAAGGAGGAGAGCTGATGGCGATGGTGCTTGAGTTCCTCGTGAGCTCTGGGCTGAGCAAGACAGTAAAGAAGCTAAAGAGCGAGGTCGACCAGGAGGTTCGGACTTTCATCTCCTCTCATCGCATGATTCATGCACGCGAGTCGTTGATAACGTCTGACCTCTGTGGCAGTTGCCCAGCGTAGAGGGGAAAAGCTTAACGGAGATGTATGAGCTTTATCAAGCACATGGCAAAGAAAAGTAGTCCTCTCATGTGCAATGAAGTCATCCTATGATGACGACTTTCATTTGCAGGGATGTGAAGAAACGTAAGAAGGCGAAATCAGACGAATCCGAAGCTGACGGAGAGAAGGAGAATGCAAAGAAGAAGAAGAGAAAGCAGAAACCCTCTACACCCGAAGATTCCGAAGCTGAGGAAGGTGAAGATGAGAGACCCAAGAAAGATTCAGCGGCAAAAGGCAAATCAAAGAGCAAAGCAAAAGGGGAGCAGAGCGATTCCGACGAGAGAGCTTCCACATCAGGACCAGTTGACTCTTCATCCAATGAGGCTGACAACCAGAACTCCAAGAGCAGCACACCATTCAAGCGGATAAAGGAGGAAGATGTCACCTACATGAAGGTACGAGGAGGTCACACGGAAGCTACCCGTCTCAAGGACAACACTTTCGAATCCAAGGTGAGGCCTTGAAAGCTTTCTAGTCTCTATACTCTACTAGCCCCTAGCTCTACTCCACCCATGGTCAATATCTGAAGCCTTGTTACCGCAGAATGGAGATGCGTATGGTGCGAAAGCTGCTGGAATCTTAGGGCAGGTTCGAGGGAGGGACTTCAGGTTTGCTTCGAGTTTAGGTTGTCGGGTTTTGAAGGAGTCGGGTTACAGGCATGAAAAGACCAAGAAGAAGCGATCGTATCGCTCTCCGGGAGCCATCGACCTCTCGAGTAACTCCATCAAGTTTGAAAGCTCCGATGATGAATGACAACACGTGTCTCTTGCCTCTGTGCTTCGATTTCCCTCGTAATCTACAACGAACTTGACGGACCTGCAAGTTCGGAAACGACCTATGCATGTTCAGCGAGTGAGGATGTGGACTAGGCTGTATCCCTCTACCATCGGATTTTCCTCAGTGACAATTTTTTCCTTCTTTCTCTTTACAACAAATAAAATATGAGATCAAAGCGATGCCTCACTACTTCTCAAGAATGCTGATCTCTTTCAGCATAAATCTCACGATTCTGAAACTCCTGTCGTCTGGTTTTCCATTAGATAACGGAACGATGCAATCGAAGAGGTCCTGGCTAGATCGGACTCCTGCACAAAGCATGTCCCATATGGTTTTGAGCTGGTAATTCGCCTTCTCCATGTTTTCGACAAACGTAACAAGCTGCCCTTCCTCCTCAGCATCTGTCATCTCTGCCTCGCCAAAGGCAACTTTTGTCGCCTTTGTTGCAAACACAGCAAGCCTCGTGAGGTTTGGTTTCAGCTGATTCAGGATAGTTTCGAACTGTGGATCTCTTGGCAGCGCATGTCTGCTGTCGTCATCGATCTGAGTCAACAAGTCTTTTTCTGGCATCTCGACGAACTCGATGACTTTACGCACGAAGTGAGCTGTGTTGGGATCTAACGATACACAAAGCGATCCAGCATCTCTTTCTCCCTTCCAAATCCGCTGGACGCAGGCTGAAAACCCTCGCCAACCATCGTCCTCCATGGCAGGCAGGCGCACACGCTCAAGGCTCCTTCGAACTTCATCGTTCCCATGCGCAGCCAGTGCGATGGCTTGGAACACTGGTTCAAACACTGATTCCAACGCCTTGACCTTTGGGGGGACGACAGGAGGCGTCGTAGGGGCAGGGGGGGCAGCACCAGCCGCATCTTCCTGATGCTCAGCGAGCCAATTGACAGCATCCATCAGATCAAACCCGGTGACTCGGAGAGCTTTCTCAGCTCGTGCCCGAGGGAAACCCATGTCGACCAACTGCGTGATTAGCTCAGCATTGTGCCGCTCGTCTTGACTCTGAGGTGACTGCCTGGACGTCCGATGGGCTTGTGCCTGCTGTTGAGGCTGCACTAACGGCTGAGAAGCACGTGATTGAGCTTGTTGTGCCTGCTGTATCCTTTGCATGAGGTTGTTGGAGAACTCAGTCAAGCTTGAGGAGCTAAGAAGATCCACTGTGCCCCGTGCGCTGTTGTCTTCGGAAGTTGGCTGGTGAATCTCCATGAAGAAGATGACCTGGTCAAATTAGCTTAAGACTGGTAGCAAACTTTGTCGCAAGAAGAAACCTCTTCTTCGCCTTTCATCCTTGTACTCACAAGCTCTTGGTCCTTGACCTGCGCTGGTTGATCAGCGATCAGACTTGAGTGATAGTGCAGCTTTGACCACTTCGCCATGGTGGACAAGGATGGAAGTAGAAGCACCTCCAAGGCGCTGAGCTACAAGAGCACGGAGCTCTCCGAAGGAAGAGGACGCGGCGAAGGGAACTGACATGTCACCCCCCCGCATGCTCCTGACCCGCACTGACCCCATGGCAGTGACCTGTCGATCTCCCGGATACTCCCGGATACTCCCGGATACTCCGAAGCCGGATACTCCCGGATACTCCCGGATACTCCGAAGCCGGATACTCCCGGATACTCCGATGCCGCGTCTGGTTGCCAGCAGTGCTGGTTCTTTTCGGGCTTGTGTTTTGTGTGTGATTGTGCAGCTTCTCGCTGTGCGCTGTGTGCCAGGAGGTTTAGCTTGTTCCTGCTTTGTTTTGCTTGAGGCACTTTTTACCTTCTCTGCGGCCAGTAAATCCGTCTTGTCCTTAGACGCGATACCCGGAGGCAGCCGACTGACCACTGTCAGTCGAGACGTCCGCTGCCGCCACAACGGAGACGCCTCGCCAGCTCCGCGACGGTCGTCGGCTCCCGGCACTCGGGATGTTTCCCCCATCGGAGTCGGAGACCTCCGGCGAAGAGGCTCCTCCTCGGGCGACTCGACAAACTTTCCGAGGAGGAGCTGTCCTCTGGCTCGAGAAGTGCTTGCGCCCGCAAGGGCGTCATGCGCCTCGCACCAGACAAGAGCGCCTCCAGCGTCAGCTGCATAGTGAGGCGCTGATAGGTGGCGGCGCGTTTGCGAGCCTGAGCCAAGACCTCAGCAGCAGGTCAGTCATCAGGCACGAAGTGCCGACCAAACGCCGCATCCTCAAGAGGCATCGAGCGCTGAGCAATGATGTCCGCGAGATACCAGATGAAGCGGAGGGTGTCAGGATGCAGGGTACCGTCCGTCGAGATGGCAAGAGGGATGAACGCTCGAGGAGGAGGAGTCATAGCATATGCAGCGCGATGTTTGCGAATCTTCTCAGACGCTGCAAAGCTAATGGATTTACTGGCAGAAGGTAAAAAGTGCCTCAAGCAAAATAAAGCAGGAACAAGCGAAACCTCCAGGCACACAAAGGGTGGACCAACGTCACGCCCTCGTACTGCTCGGACCCTCGATCGCGGATTCCAGGGATGTGGATATCCCCCCTTCTTTTTGCGGCCATGAGGATGGGAGGGTTTGCTAGGGTACCTGCCGTCGAGACCGAGGATCCCCCACTGCATCGATGACGCTCTGAAGACCAGCTTCGTTCAGCATCGACCGAATCGTACGAGTAAGGTTGTCATGCGCCGTGGGAAGCTTGGAGGATCGGCGTTTGCAGGTCTGGAGATGATGCGCAGCAACGGAGGGATCAGGTCGAGCTCGCGCTGACATCCATAGTGTCGGCGGCTGCCCTTTCTCCGTCCGCGGCCGCCCGCTTTGTGGCGGCAGCGGACCGGCTGCTTGTACGGTCTGGTGCGAGGCGCATGACGCCCTTGCGCGCGCAAGCACTTCTCGAGCCAGAGGACAGCTCCTCCTCGGACTTTGTCGAGTCGCCCGAGGAGGAGTCTTTGCCGGAGGTCTCCGACTCCGATGGGGGAAACACGTCGAGTGGCGCCGACGATCGGCGCGGAGCTGGCGAGGCGTCTCCGTCCCTCACTGTGACGTCGGTGGGGTGCTTGCTGCTGGTCAGAGCTCGCCTGCTTCCTCCCCGGCATCCGAGTCGGGTCACGCCGGTCCTTGGGCATTGCCGCGGCGTCGCCGCCGTCACGGGCGGTGTTGGGTGTCGCTATCCATTGACATCCATTGAGGCTGTCAATGGATTTACTGGCAGAAGGTAAAAAGTGCCTCAAGCAAAACAAAGCAGGATCAAGCTGAACCTCCAGGCACACAGCGCACAGCGAGAAGCTGCACAATCACACACAAAACACAAGCCCGAAAAGAACCAGCACTGCTGGCACCCAGACGCGGCAGCGCCAGCCCAAGCGCGAAGCCGCGCAGACAAGCAGCCTAAGGGTCAAGCAATCAAGCAACACGGACAATGGATTTACTGGCAGAAGGTTGTGCAGCTTCTCGCTGTGCGCTGTGGATCACACACAAAACACAAGCCCGAAAAGAACCAGCACTGCTGGCACCCAGACGCGGCACCGCCAGCCCAAGCGCGAAGCCGCGCAGACAAGCAGCCTAAGGGTCAATTGAGCAATCAAGCAACAAGCAGCAGGAGCATGCAGGAGGAATAAAATCCCTTAGACGCGATACCCGGAGGCAGCCGACTGACCACTGTCAGTCGAGACGTCCGCTGCCGCCACAAAGCGGGCGGCCGCGGACGGAGAAAGGGCAGCCGCCGACAACAAGCAGCAGGAGCATGCAGGAGGAATAAAATCCCTTAGACGCGATACCCGGAGGCAGCCGACTGACCACTGTCAGTCGAGACGTCCGCTGCCGCCACAAAGCGGGCGGCCGCGGACGGAGAAAGGGCAGCCGCCGACAAGGAGCCGGCGTTGCCCGGGGGTCCGCCTGGGGCAGCGGACGGAGGGAGGCTGGACACAGGAACACGGTACCGCTCGAGGTAGTCCTCCTCGCTAGCCTCCGAGTCAGCGGTAGCCGAGTCAGTGGTAGCCGCCCGTGACGGCGGCGACGCCGCGGCAATGCCCAAGGACCGGCGTGACCCGACCGATGCCGGGGAGGAAGCAGGCGAGCTCGGACCAGCAGCAAGCACCCCAGTGGTGTCGAGCTCTCCGGATGCCGGATCTTCTTATTCCTGCCCTGTCAGCCATTCGTCGAGGAGGCAGATTTATTCAGGGCCCCTCTCCAAGGGAGCTGATAAACACCGTCGACTCGCGACGAAGCTTGCTTTGGCAGCGATTCGCTCATTTCTTGACCAGCACTTCCTCTCGTCTCACCCTCGAGCGATTCAGTTCGGACTCGATCGAGACGGCTGTCTGAAGTTCTCGCAAACAGCGTCAGCGCTCCTGCCCCTTCACGCTCGCGGTGATGATGAGGATGTTGCCAACCCCACAGTGCTGGTGAGCTTGGATGCAAAGAACGCCTTCAACTCCCTCGACCGCCAGGCTCTCTTCGATGCAATCGAGGGACGTGCGAGTCGCGACTACTTTGATGGGAGCATCACTGAAGGCGCAAGCTTGCCCTCTTGCGAGCATCTCCGTTTGTTCGCCTCCTACCTCTCCAGCTACTATGGAGACTCTGCTGACCTTCGACTCTTTCACAAAAGTCAGTCAGCCTCCGTTCAGTGTACCTCGGGCGTCTGTCAGGGCGATGTCCCCTCCAGCGTATTTTTCTGCCACAGTATCCACCCCCTGCTCCTCCATATCGCAGAGCTTTTTCCCTCTGTTCGAGTCTTGGCCTATGCTGACAACGTCGTGCTTGTCGGTCCACTCGAGGATGCCGTTGCAGCTACGTCCGCTATGAAGAAGTACATGTTGGCTGATCTGAAGCTAGAGATTCAACCTCGCGAGTCGAAAGTTTACATCCCCTCCTGGCATCAACACCCTGATCTCTCGCAGCTGAAGAAGAGCCTTAAGCGCCGTCTCAAGACTCAACTTCTTCACTTCGAGGTCGTCACTGGCGGGATTACACTTGGCGGCCTGCCTATCGGCACGGATGGATTTCATGCTAGTCAGCTCCGGGCGAAGGTTTCTACCCTCAACGAAGAGCTCTCGAAGCTCGGGCTCGTCCAGCATGGCTTCATGTTCAAGACGCTGGTGAGGGCGAGCCATCTCCAGAAGCTGCGCTTCTTCCTCCAGGGGTCTTCTCCGTTTCTCCCGCGGGTCCAATCACAGATTCGTCGCTTTGACCTCTCTGTCCACCTGGGGCTTGAGAAATACCACCGCTGGCCTTCCTCGCAGTACCTCGCCGCGCATCCCGACCTGCTAGAGTTTGCGAGGTTCAAGCGGGAGCTTCCGCATAGTCGGGGAGGGGACGAGTTCACGCCCTCTGAGGGTCTACACCCCGCTGTTTACTATACGGCTATCGCTCGCTTCCTCGCTTGGTACTCTGACCAGCCGATGTCCCGGACCTTGCCCTCTCCTCATAGCCTGGACGTTCACTACTCCGTGCCCAGAAGCATCCTCTGGCGACCTTCTTCGTTGAGGCGCACGACTTCGTTCATAATGCTGGAGCGATCCTCTACCGTCGTGTGAGGGCTCCTGCACCGGCTGCAGATGGCGCGGCGATCCCACCTGCCCCGGCTGCTGTGCCTGATGACGCAGGACGCCCCCCGGCATCTGTAATGGATTTACTGGCAGAAGGTAAAAAGTGCCTCAAGCAAAACAAAGCAGGAACAAGCTGAACCGGCAGGCACACAGTCCACAGCGAGAAGCTGCACAATCACACACAAAACACAAGCCCGAAAAGAACCAGCACTGCGGGCACCCAGACGCGGCAGCGCCAGCCCAAGCGCGAAGCCGCGCAGACAAGCAGCCGAAGGGTCAAGCAATCAAGCAACAAGCAGCAGGAGCATGCAGGAGGAATAAAATCCCTTAGACGCGATACCCGGAGGCAGCCGACTGACCACTGTCAGTCGAGACGTCCGCTGCCGCCACAAAGCGGGCGGCCGCGGACGGAGAAAGGGCAGCCGCCGACAAGGAGCCGGCGTTGCCCGGGGGTCCGCCTGGGGCAGCGGACGGAGGGAGGCTGGACACAGGAACACGGTACCGCTCGAGGTAGTCCTCCTCGCTAGCCTCCGAGTCAGCGGTAGCCGAGTCAGTGGTAGCCGCCCGTGACGGCGGCGACGCCGCAGCAATGCCCAAGGACCGGCGTGACCCGACCGATGCCGGGGAGGAAGCAGGCGAGCTCGGACCAGCAGCAAGCACCCCAGTGGTGTCGAGCTCTCCGGAGGCACCCGACGTCACAGTGAGGGACGGAGACGCCTCGCCAGCTCCGCGCCGATCGTCGGGGCCACTCGAAGGGTGTCCCCCATCGGAGTCGGAGACCTCCGCCGAAGACTCCTCGGGCGACTCGACAAAGTCCGAGGAGGAGCTGTCCTCTGGCTCGAGAAGTGCTTGCGCCCGCAAGGGCGTCATGCGCCTCGCACCAGACAAGAGCGCTTCCAGCTGATAGGTGGCGGCGCGTTTGCGAGCCAAGACCTCAGCAGCAGGTCCGTCATCAGGCACGAAGTGCCGACCAAACGCCGCATCCTCAAGAGGCATTGAGCGCTGAGCAATGATGTCCGCGAGATACCAGATGAAGCGGAGGGTGTCAGGATGCAGGGTACCGTACCGTCCGTCGAGATGGCAAGAGGGATGAACGCTCGAGGAGGAGTAGTCATGGCATATGCAGCGCGATGTTTGCGAATCTTCTCAGACGCTGCAACATGGAGGGCGTCGAGGTTGACCTCCCCCCACTTGGTCAGGTCGGCAGAGCTACCAAGGGATCATAGGATTTACTGGCAGAAGGTAAAAAGTGCCTCAAGCAAAACAAAGCAGGAACAAGCTGAACCGGCAGGCACACAGTCCACAGCGAGAAGCTGCACAATCACACACAAAACACAAGCCCGAAAAGAACCAGCACTGCTGGCAATGTAAGGGTGGACCAACGTCACGTCCGCCATCAAGCCCTCGTACTGCTCGGACCCTCGATCGCGGATTCCAGGAATGTGGATATCGCC